GACGGAATATTTATATTGTAAATTTGGTAAAGGACTATTCAAAAATAATTTGGAAGTGAAATTAGGAGATCAAATTATACCTCAAGTGGAAAAGTTTAGATATTTGGGAGCCATTATTCAAAATGATGGCGAAATCAGTGGAGATATTTCACATAGAATTCAAGTTGGGTGGTTTAATTAGAGAAAAGCTAAAGGAGTTATTTGTGACCGTAAGGTGCCTAATAAACTTAAAGGAAAGTTTTATTGTACTGCTATCAGACCGGCAATGTTATATAGTAGTGAATGCTGGGCTCTAACGGGACAGCAAGAGCATAAAGTTGGAGTAGCAGAGATGAGAATGTTACGATGGATGTGCGGACATACACGTAAAGATAAAATTCGAAATGAGCACATACGTGAAAAAGTGAGGGTGGCACCTATTGAAGAAAAAATGGTAGAAAATCGGTTGAGATGGTTTGGGCATGTACAAAGAAGACCAAGGGAGGCACCAGTGAGAAGAGTGGAACATATAACTTTGAGTCCGATTAAGAGAGGTAGAGGAAGGCCTAAGAGAACACTCTTGGAAGTTGTTGAACGTGATCTCTTAATTAATAATATTTCTAAAAGCTTAATAAATGATAGAGCACAATGGCGTCTTGCAATCCATGTAGCCGACCTCACCTAGTGGGATAAAGGCTTGTTGTTGTTGTTGTTGTTGTAGTGGTCTCAAACGCATAAACTTGCATTGACTTTCATCAAGCAATAACTCATATACTTTTCACTTAGTCATCTCATGAAAGACTATAATTCGTAATTTCAATTTCTATATCTCATTATGTTCATTTCATAATTGCATCGTCAATCAATGCACTTCATCATTAGTATCCTCAAAATTTCATATATAAACATATATGTTGTACATTCACATTTCACAAATCATATTTAACATGAAAATACCATTTTAAGATCACCTTCAATTAACAAGCAACTATAAAAGAATAGATATCCCTCAATTATCTTAAACCTTTGAGTGGTTAAATATTTAGCCCTCAAATAAATGCTTTTAAAGCTTGATCCCAAACTAAGTTGGTGCACAGAACAATTAGTCTATAATCAACCATATCCATTACCATTAATATCACTATTTACACAAATCTAACTTCCCATTTCAACTCTATCCATACCAAAATCTTAGTTTCTTATATTCAAGCTTAACCATTGGGTTTATCAACCCTTTTTAGCTCATAATAGCTTCCTTGTATTTTCAACCCACCTTTGATAACATTAAAGCATACCCAACCACCTCCATCAATGCATATTTTTAGATATTAATGTTCACCAACAACCAAAAACATGCAAAACCTTGAACTCTTAGTTTAAGTGACTCAAACAACTTCTATTAACTCTATTCAAATTAATAGGTTGGGACCTATAGTCTTTATGGATAGCAAATCACTCCCCAATTATAAATCTTAACTAAAATCTAAAAAATATAGGAGAAAGAGAGGAGAAGGACTAGGGAACAACTACAAATCCTAACTAAAATCTAAAAAATATAGGAGAAAGAGGGAAGAAGGACTAGGGAACTTATCCTTAGAGTTTATTAGCTTTAAAATGCTTCAAAATCCTCAAGGAAACAAGCCCTAGTAGAGCCCACCAACCATCTGTCTCTCTCTCTCGTTCAACAATTCTATTTTTTCTCTTTCTATTTTTGCTAAGTTTTAGCTATGTGCCATAGCGCATGTGACATGCGCTACGGCATATGACACAAAGATGCTCTTAGTGTTTTCTGGCCTATTGCACTGCAACTCATGCCGCATGTGTTGTGTATCCTCATTCTTCTAACCCATGATTAATTTTAAATCTCAATTAATAAAGAAATTAGATTAAAATAATTAACGTAATACTAAGTTGCAAATAAGTGAAAAAGTTAGGATCTCAAGTGTTCAAAAACTAAAATCATTTTTAAAGTCTTTAAAATAGACAAATCAAAGTTTACACCTATGCGAAAGTATGAGATCATTTCAAACATGAGTGCATTAGTAAAAAAATTTGAATACAAAATAATTTTGCAAAAATTTAGGGCGTGCACCGTGGTTCGTGGCACCGTGCGCTGCGGCTCGTGGCACGTATCATGACAATAAACTCTGCTGTCAATTTGATAACTTTTAGGGTAACTTTTAACACGTCCCATTCCTTTGTCCGACGTCTGATTGATGCAAAATAGGTGTTTACAAAAAACTCTTTCTAAACTCTAACTAATGACTTTAATCTCCTAATCAAATTATTACACATTCAAACTTTTAAAGACGTTTTAGGATTTATATTGATTGATTATTTAATTGTTGCCACCATTTTAGGAAGAATCAGGGAAACAAAAGAAAAAGAATTCACCTTAATCTGCAGACATAAGGGATAAAGAAATCATTCTAAAGCTTTGGTGGTTAGTTGATCACTTTATGATCACATATTTTTATTACTATCAAATTTCACATAATAATTCTAATTACCTTAAAATCTCATGATGATCGGCGGCGGTTGCGATTTAATAATTAGCTTTCGAATATAAAGCAGTATTCTCCATCTCAATTTATAAGGTTTTTTTTTTTGCAAATTTATTTTATATATTAATAAACTTTATTAAATACAGTTTTAAAATTTTAATTTGTCTATAATCTTTGAAAAAGATCCTTTAATAATAAAAGATAGAGGGAATGAAATTTATTTAATGAGCGAAATAATGAGGGGTCTTGTTGGAATAATTATAATTAATAAAATTTATTTTTTTCAAAACATCTTATATTTTAATACAATAATTTTTTTTCAAAAATATCTTATAAAATAAAATGAAAGACTATTATAATAAACTCAAGTCTTGCGAAGTGTTCATTTATTGATAAAGATAAAACATTAGTATTGTTGAATTTGCAGCTTCAACACATGATTTTTATAAAAAATCAAGGTCCAATCATTTTGCTAATGCAAGATGATGATGGGGACAATCGGTACCTTTTAATTATCGAATTTTATGACAATTGTGCCATGTAGTGTTTCTAGTGATCCTTTGAAGAATTACAATAATTGAACCTTACACATTTGTGCCGGTTCTAATTAAGATCATTTAATATGGGTCGGCTTCAGTGATAGAGTCCCATAAACTATCTGTTTCACAAGCGTATGAGACATTTCTTGATCTTGATTTTTCTCATCTTGTATTGCTTGATTATCATTCTTATAAAGATTTTTCTTTTTTTGTGTGGGGTGATTTTGTGTTTCAAAATATACTATATTTTTTTTAAAAATAAAATTTTATTAATGATAATTATTACAATATTATTACCCCTCATTATTTCACTCCTTAAATAAATTTATTTCACTATCTCTCTTATTAATAAAGGGTAATTTTAAAATTTTATAAGAAAAATTAAAATTTTAAATTATATTTAATAAATTTTACTTTTGTATATAATTTTATGAGAAAGGAACCCATCATAAATTGGGACGGAAAGGGTAAAACTTAAAAAATTTACCTTATAATTAGATGGAAAAGCTTTGAGTGCTTATAGGCTCATAGCAGATAAAATCTGACTGTTCAATTCTGATTTAGATTACATGAATTTAAAATTTTTAATTGATAATCGTCATACCGTAAATTATTCTTTTAAGAAGTGACGACTAAGAGATTATATTTATTTTTAATTCTACATCCAATGATATAAATCTTTAAAAAGATATAACAAAATCAATACTAAATATGAACGGTCCCGAATGGTGCACCAAAGGCAAACTTTTTTGACTTAACCTTTGGGAAAAAAATTACTAGCAGGAAAGATTTAGTTGACAAAAAATCTCATACTTCTGCCGGACTATATTTGTTAATTCATTTATGTTTTCAAAAAAAAAAAGTGTTGGTAAAAATTTTGACATTTTAAATTTTTTTATATCTTTGTAATGATACTTTTGCTTGTAAATAGATATAATATTTAACTTATTTGAAACATTTTTAATATAATTACTAAATAAAATAAGGATGTAATTGAAGTAAAATATATAACATCTACTCCCTTCTTTTAAAAATATAAAGTATTTTTTTAAAAGTTGAATGTTAAAAAATGTAAGCTATTTTTATTCTTTTAAAGTGTAATCATTATTTTTTTCAAAAATACTTATATTAATAATGACTTTATATTTATTATAAGGTGTTTAATAAGGATAAATATAAAAAGATAGGATCAGTTTGAAAGTAAATAATTATTTTATTAGAAATGAGATTGAGTTAAAAATGTCTTATATTTTTTAACAGAGGAGATACTCAATAGTACCTTATATTTTTGACCGAACAAAATTTATAGAAAACAACTTAATCTTTCTCGACTAAAATATAAAGCATTAATAATTAATTCATGGTTTACAAAAAATGCTAATTGAAACTTTAACTTCTTAAAAAAAATTATATCTTTTTTGTTTTACCCTTATTAAATATCTTATATATTGTTTCCTTTTTTTATTTATAAGAAAAACTATTACTCTTAGTTTGTTTTTTTATATAAGCAAAATATCATCTTCCAATTAGCATTTATTACAAATTTTTTAAATTATTCCTTATAATTTGATCATTCACATAAGAAATAATTAATGAAGACTTAATTAACATAATTAATGACAGGTGTTTTAATTTAATTTTTTTATTTTTAAATATAATTAATATAGTTAATTAATTTTTTTAAACAGTGTCATATAATTTTTTCATCTTTTATAAAAACTAATAAATAAAGTAAGAATATAATTAAAAAAATAATTATAAAAATATTTTAATATCTTATATTTTAAATTAAGTAATATTTTTAAAAAATTCCTTATGATAAATAGTGGAATGAGGATGCATAGCTGTGTGAAAAGTAACAAGGAACATTAAAGGCAGACACAGAATTTAAAGGTGGTGGGAGTGAGGGACATGGTGGGACCTGGAGTCATGAATGATCATTAAGGCTTTTTCCTTCCCTTCAGCTATAAAATCCTGTTCATTCTCTAACCTAATCGCCACCAAAAACAATCACTTTCAAGTTTTTCATCTCTGTCTCTCAGACCCAAATTTGCTAATTTCTTCCACTCTCAAGTCATGGGAAGAGGCAGTGCAAGCGCAATCATCTCAGCTGCTCTGGTTCTGCTCTTCTGCTTCACCACGGTGCTCCTCTCCGACATGGCTCAGGCGGCCACCTTCACCGTCGGAGACTCCGGTGGTTGGACTTTTAACACCCAAGGATGGCCTCAGGGAAAGACGTTTAGGGCTGGAGATACACTTGGTTAGTACTTCTTCTTCTTCTTCTCCTTCGTCCATTTATTCATGAAAAAATCCCATTTTAACTATACATATATATACAGACTTGTCAGTTTCTGCATTTGGAAATATTTCATATAGAGACTTCAGGGTCTGCACATGGAATTAAGTTTTTTTCTTTAAACGTAAGCGCGTGTCCAGTCCAGTAAGAGGCCACCAGATTCCTGCAACTACACATTGAACTCGCTGCCAGAGACGGATCCACATCTAAAACAATATTATATTCCTATAATTCTTTTTAACTTTATCACATTATAATATCCATTCGCTTCCAGTTACAGGTGTGTCAAAATTACATGAACCTAATGATTACTTTCATATATATATATATATGATGATATTTTTTAAAAATTAGCAAATATTACAAAAAACGAAAAATCCAAAAAGCTAATATTGTAATTTTGACATAAATAAAATATTTATATTTTTTATTTATGCTTCAAAGTGAGTGAGGTGGTTGAAGTTGGTCAGAAAACGACCTCCATGGTCTCATTTTATTAATGCTATATGCATGTACGGGAACTCTAGTATCAATGTAATTAATAGATGGGGTTACTTGTGTCAATAAAGTCAAAGGTGATGTTTTTAAATAGTTTCTTACCTTCGATTCTAAGTATAGAAATTTCTAGCAACCTTGTCCACTTAAGAAGGACAATTATGTGGTAAAGATAGTATTTAAAAATAATGAATTAACTTTATTAACAAATATTAATGTTAGGATTTTATTCATAATCTAAAATATCTTGAGATCAGAGGCATGTTTTGATATTAGTGATTTCCCAAGGTTCATGTCACCTAAATGTTTTTAATAAAAAAACTTATGAATAAACTTTTCAAGTTTATACTTTTTTTAATATATTTAAAAAAATCTAAGTTATAAATAAGGTTGATTTTGAAAATAAAATTAATGCTATACCTTTTTTTTATATAAAATAACTAATATATAGGAACATTAATTTATTTTAAAAGATGATTAATATATAAAACTCGAGAATGTCCTCTCCTCATCCTATATTTAGTTACTTATTGAAAGTAAGAGAAGTTTGGTTATTCCCTCTCCTCTTCTTCTTCCTTTTTTTAAAGTATTTAAGGAGGGACTTGTGGTCATTTTTATAAAACACCGTAGATATATTACGTGTTCTTCACATTATCTTTAATCAATCTTGGTTTATGTTTTCTAAACTTCGATTTTTAGCTTCTTAAAAGATAAGTTTAATACGATTGAAGTTGAAAACCTTGTTAATTTTCAAATTTTTTTTATTAATATAGTTTACATATTACTCATTGGTTTCAATAAAAAATACTTGAAGTAACTTATAAAAAGAATCAAAGAGAATACATCATTAAAATTATTTAGAAATTTCTTTGATTTAAATTTTCACATTTAATTACTTGAAGTGTTGCTTATGTTTTTGAATCGAAAAGAGCATATTTTAAAAGTTAGTTGATCAAATCAGTTGTAGATCTCATAGTTCACATAAACAACAAATCAAGTTGGATGAATAGCTTACAATAAGGAGTGTGCATGAGTCAAACTGAGTCCCTGGTGATTCATGCGACTCGAAAACCGGCTCAACTCATTACTTCGTCATATAATACAAGATCCTACAAGCCAGTAGTACTTAATTTGGTAACCCTGTTATTATTATAAATCAAGGCTATGTTCAGGTAAGATCTAAACGAAAGTTTGAGTATTAAAAGCTCATTGGAAAACATGAAATGTTATTTGAATAAAAAAATAATCAAAAGAGCTTTTGATTCAGAAACTTGTTTACATGGAAACTAGAAATATGAGCTTTTGGTTTTAGTTGAAGATCAAATTGACTTTTAATTTTTTTTAAAAAAGTATTCAAACATGAATCATGTTGAAATCACTGACATTTTCTCTAATTTTCAATTTGCAAAACTCAGTTTATTTTAAATTTAGTTTTGCAACTTCTAATCCAAACACACCATCACAGTGTTCAACTATCGCCCCGGGACTCACAACGTGGTGATAGTGAACAAGGCAGGATACAATACATGCAGGACTCCGAAAGGTGCACAGGTTTTGGTTTCAGGGAAGGATCAGATCAAGCTCGTCAAGGGACCCAACTACTTCATCTGCAGTTATCCTGGCCACTGCCAGTCTGCCATGAAGATTGCTGTCAATGCTGTCTGATTATGTGTGTGTGTGTGTGTGTGTGTGTGTGGGGTGTAAGATTCTAATTTCTACATCATGTATCTGCTTTAGTTTACTACTAAGTTGTTTGAGTGTCTCTGATTAGTTGCTATTAGCCCATTACTAGTCACGTGCATGTGGGTGTGAAGAGAATGGTGTGCTGTGATGTAATGATAATATATATGTTTGCTGCTTTGTAATGCTGATAATGGATTTGGTAATAATAAATGTGTGAAGGAGATTGGTTTGTGCTTTGGTACTGGGAATGGAATTGGAAGGGGTTAAAAAAAGTTCATTTAATTCAGAATTATAAAATGCAGGGAAAATTAGTCAGTTAATTTAGTTTCAATAATTTTGACTCAATTGCAACTTAATTATTAAATTCTAACGTGCAACTTAATTACAATTTTTTTTTTTTCAATTATAACTTGATCTCTTCTACCCCGGGGGAAAAAAAAAACTCAGCCAAAATGTATTTTAATCAAAAGGAAGATAAGTAAACTCTTATGTTATTAAAACCTAAACCAAGTAGCCGATCAAAGCATTGAACTGATGGACCAACATTCTGGCTAGTACAGTCAAGAGTTTTGGAAAGATTGGTCAAGTGAAATTTTAAATCTTTTTTCTCTCATTATGGAGCCTAAACTGCTATCATTTTCAGTTTAAATAAAAGAAAAAATAGCAGTATATTAACTTTGTGCTTTAATAACTATGTTGGTTGATTATGTGTGGTTTATACATGGACATTTCAATTTTTTTTTTTATGTGTACTCTTTATAGGGTTATATATAAATATTTTTATATATTTTAATTTAATTATATTAGTTTAATCATGATTGAATTGATCCTGATTCAACAACAATTGAATTACTGACTCTTGAACAACCATTTTGACTTGTTCAACAATCGATCTAATTTTTAGTAGATCTTTAGTATACTTACAAAAGGCACATAACACAAGGGGAAATAACAATTGAAAATGTTAAAAATTTAAATATTTTAACAGCACCGCCCAATCAACAAAAGTGTCGGGAAAAAAAATCAACAAAAACTCTAAATGGCAGTTTCATTTTGAATCACTTAGTGGTAGGTACATTTACTAACCTTGTGAATCACATAGAAACTAACGTTGTCTTTCTCAATAAATCAGGTCAGTAATGGCTAAAAAAAAAAATGACATGGCCTTTTTATTGCATGGCCAAGTGTGACTTGTTTATTTGGGTACATGATGGAATAGAGTTTTGAACCTAAAATCTCTTGCAACTATTCACACATCCCTTACCACAAAACTATACCTAGTGGTATTAAATTCCTTTTTTCCTTTTCCTCTTCTGGTCAAGATGAGAAATTCAATTACAACACATACAATAATAAAAAAGAAATAAATTTATGCACTCCATTGTCATTAACTTTATCCTCCCATCTTATATTAGCCAAAGGAGGGAAAACACTCATCTTCCTAACCTATGACATGGTGGGATACAAGGATTTGTACATTCCTTATCCATCTCCAGTCTCCAAACAGAACTTGGGATATCCACATTGAGCTATGCTGAATTGCTGTTTCAAATTAGAGGACTGTCTTCTTGAACTATTTTATCAGCTGGGTTTTCCATTGCCCAGACAGTAGCATCTTTCAAACCATGTTCAAAGAGCCGGTCGATAATGTCATCTTCCGCTGGTTCAAGCGCCCATTTGAAAAGCTGAAATGATTTGAAGCATAATGCTCATCACCTTGCAAAAGGGAAGGTCTAGATTCAAAAACTTAGATGTACCTGTCGAGGACTAGCCGCATTTTCAGGATTACAGTCAGGGCTAATGATCCCTACTGCCTCTAATCCCAGTCGACTTGCAGGGAAAGCACAAACGCGAACCTGTCAGGAGGCAAAGAGAGCTATGATGAAGTTTGAAATATAGTAACTTGTCGAAACATTAATGACAATGAAACGAAAGAGGGAATTCATATGAGAACTGTTGGCAGGGATGGCTCTCTGAAGAACAAAAGTAGAGATGAAGAAGAAAATGTGCACATTGTCTTTAAGGCATAGGTAATACTTTTCTTTAGGCTTAATTCACTCCTACCCATTCCAATTTTCAGGTACAAGTTGGATTGATAGTGAATTTCTTTTAGGATACAATGAAGACCCTTGAGTATAACATGCACTACCAAAACTCAAGCCAAAACAACTATGATTTTTACAAAGTGATAATTTAATTTTATCTCTGGTGCATTCAAAGAATAAAGGCAATGCATTTCAATCGATGGATCTCCAAAATAAGTGATGGTGAGAGGGTATTTATAGATACTAAAGTAATATCTTTTAAGCAATAAAACTCTCCTTAAAAATTATAACCAATGTTAGTTCATAACCCTTATATTGTTCATGAACAATCTTATGTTAATTCATAAACATCCCTATGTTGGTTCATGAACCTACATAGTTTATTAATTACTATTAACTAAGGGTCATTTATAATAACTTTCCATGAAAAGAAACATCCTTTTAACATGTAGAGTATCTTGAAATACACTTCTTTTTACCAAGTGACACCTTTTAGTTTTATAACCCTCTAAAGGTATCTTTAGAATTTAAAGAGACATAATCTTGGTGACCATAACTCTTCACATAAACCTTCATAAAAATTCCTTAATTTATAAGGACATGACTTTTCAAAAAACATCTCTTCATTTTGAAAATATTCCAACAAGAACCTCAACAGGATACAAGTGAATTTTTTTCAACAATAAACTTCACAATCATGCCCTCAAATCACTCTACTGTAGTACAGCCAGCTATATTCATGATGCAGCATGCTTACAGATTTAAATTTGGTAACTCATATTGAAAACCTTCCCCAATTCACCATTATTATTGGATTTGGAGAAGTAACAAAATCGAAATTTAAAAAGGGAATAAGGTTTTGATTTGTTGACATTTGCTTTGTTAACTCAAGATATAAAAAAAAAAAAAATACTCCCCATGGTCTCAAATATAAGTCATTTTATTCAAAGTCCTAGGGTTCAAAATATAAGTCATCTCTCTGTAGTAATAGTAGTAGTAGAGAAAAAACCATGACATTGGTTAATTTTACCCCTGAAAATTGAATTCTTGAATGACTTCTCTAAAGCTTTCCATCCATGGAGTCTATCATTTAATCAACTAATTGCCAGAATACCCCTTTTTTTACAGAAATTATCTCGTGATGTTAAAGGCATCCTTGTCTTTAAATTTTTTTTTAATAGAAAAATTATTCATTCATTTCCCATTTCACACCCCATTCACCAACATGACATAGGCCAAGGGAGCAGTGAATGTGATCAAGCCTTCATATGCAACCAACATGAAGAATTTTTACCAGTTTGCCCAATAGAACTTTTCACAAGACAAAATGCACACAGAGGAAAGATCCCCTGGCTTAGAAGAAGTATGTTAATAAAATTAGAGAGAGAGAGAGAGAGAGAGAGAGAGATAAGGCCTGACAAGTAATGAGTCAATTGAAAATCAAAAGCTCATCTTCAAATCAACTCCAGAAAATATTGAATACCGTTTGTGCAGCAGATGTTGGTGGCATAAACAACATCAAACCACCATCCATGCATAGTCGGTTTCTAAACATTGTAGCAGGTCTTGGTGCAAGATACCTGAAATGAGATATAACTTACTTTAAGTTCCCCAAAACTTTATAACGTGGGTGAGAAAATATCATGCAAATATTGCTAATAAATCACCCTGGAATAAAGGAAGAAGTAAAAACTGCATTGACAAGATCTTCCCGGGACTCAAACTGATCCACCAATAAACCCCTTGGTCTCCAAAGAAGCTGTGTCACGGCAACTGCAATAGAAAAGCTACGATATAAGGTTCATCAAAGCTTTATAAAATCCTAGAAGAAGCAACTCTCCTTTCTTTTGTTCTTTGCGTAAATGCAGTTTCAAGCATCTATCATTAATAACAACTGTTAACAGAAGTATATGAACATGAAATATCACCTCGAACTCTTCCATTGCATCTAACATGAGCATCTTCAGGCAGAAACTTGTTAAGAACATCACGGAGAACAGCCTGTGAAGAGAAATATTAAACCACACAAAATTGTATTTGAACTTTATCAAGAGATGTCCCAAAGAATAGGCACTTCTCTTGAGAGAAACCTTAAAGTGGCTTCACATACTGGATAATAACTTTATTACTTTGTCAGAAGCCGCTTATACAGACCACAAAGGCTCTCATCTCAATTTTGCAAACTATCCACAATGGTTTGCATCATAAATTGTCAATTTCTCCAAGTCAATATTTCCTTCAGTTTTGCAATATTATTAATTGAAACTTATCAACAGGTGCACTAGGCATGATCATGGGTTGGGAACATTTTTGGACATAAAACCTTAACTAGAAACTATGATTAAACAGGAAGGTTTCCCAAACACATTAGAGGGGGGAAAAGAGCTACAATTCAATAACCTGACATTACTCTAGCAACATAATAGATATATGATTTTTTTCTCGTTTCATGTTGGGAGGTTCTGGTTGAGTCAAAGAAACATAAGGCAATGCTGCAGGGAGGGAAGGTTGAATTTGGCCAAATATGTAGGGCCAACCTAACTTGCAGTTTTTCTTAGATCATGGATCTCCAAATTCAAATATATCCTATTCCGCATGTTATTTATCAGGTTCCATGGATCTTATCCATTTAAAAATTCCAGTGATTTGTGCTCATGATCAACTTTAAATAGGGGTATCAGCTACACCTGAGCTACTTTGAGACATAAAAGAGACAGACGTATGGAATAACACAAAATTAATATTAAAGGAAAACCATTCAAAAAGGTTGCTTATCAGCAGTTATGTGGCAAACGGCAACAGAGACATGCAGATCAGAACCCTAAAAAAGTTTCCTTGCTGCAATAATTCATTGATTGCAATTTGCAACACAAATGAACGTGGGGGGAAAACTCAGCACAGATCTTCTGCTATCAACATAGCAGCGACAAAATAGAGATAAGGGTTGCTACAATAGATAAAAACCCTGGAGAGAGAATAAAGAGTAATAAAGAGTAATGACTCCATAACCTCATATAAAGTTTTAAGAGACAAATACATCAGAAATGATGACAAGTTTTAATAGAGCAATTCACCATTTTGGAAGTACCTTGTCTCTTTATGCAAATATCGCTTTGAGTGTTAGAGATGGGCATAAAATCAATTTCTGGAAGGATATAGGTTTGATAACAATCCTGCATTGATAAACTAATGTCATGATAGTCCCAAGAACACTATGGATACTCATGCTAGAGTCAGTGACTTTGTTAGTGAAAAGAGGAGAATGGAAGTTAAATATACTAAAACTACCTCTGCCCCATATGGATATCTTAAAGATAAGAGCTGTGGCACCACTTAATGATAAAGATGGCATTGACAAGTTTAGATGGAATGGAAACAAAGCATCACTGGTGGTTTATCAGTATCATCAATGTACAGGGTACTAAGAAACATCAGTGATCATGATGCGGCTCCATTATGGAAGAAAGTGTGGAGTTTGAAAGGACCAAAAAATAAAATGCAGGTTCTCTCATGGCTAGAAGCACATGAGAGGCACCTAATTTCATTAAGAAGCAATTGGATCATAGGAAGCTCCCTGATATGCTCAGGATGCCAGCAACACGAGGAAACTGTATTACATGTAACAGGGAATACTTAGTGCTAAACAAGGTCTGGAGGAAACTTCTCAAAGATAGGAAGATTCCAAAGCTTTTTAGCAAGCGCAAAAGTGGGTGGTTACTCACAAATCTGTCAAAGGAAGAATGAGTGAAGAGACACCAGAGTACACTTTTCGTTGTCACATGTTGGTACTTGGTGTGTCTGGACATGAAGAAATGCTGCTATGTTTGAAGAAGGTTTCCAACTACCAGAAAGTCATGATGGTATTTTTTTAATACTCTTTATTACATGCGCATTAGTGGGAACCATGACACACTGACCAATGGTAGGCCTTCAAACACAGCAAGGTGCAGATCCTTATCAGGCAGGACAAAGGCAAACATAGATCGTTTAACAAGGGCTGGTCAGTAACAAGGATGGGAAGTGGATAGGAGGACTCATACATAGGTTGGGCAATTGAACCCCACTTGAAGCAAAGCATTGGAATATTGTAGCAAGCTTCTGATTTATGAAGAACCTAGGCATCAAGAGGTTCACAGCAGACAGTGACTCGCGTATGGCTATCACTCTACTTGAGGAATTGGTGAACAAAAGAGAGACTCAAGTATACATGGAACCAGATTGGGCGGTTAGGACTACAAATGCCAAACTTGTGTGCTAATGCAATGGCAAAGCAAAGTAACCAGTATCTATTGGGCCTTAGGCTCCTGAAAGAGGAACCATCCTAGCTAAATAGGCTTATTTTAGACATAATAAGGTATCTCTTGGCCTCAAATAGCTTAGTCTTTAATCATTTGGGATTGTAGCCCCATATATTATCCCAAAAAAAAAAAAGCAAGAGTAATGATAAGAAAGTAATTTATCCAAGGTGGTTTGATAAGCTATATTGTCATTGATGTATGAAATTTGAAAACAAGAAGTGTAAATTGGCATTGTTAACTTACAGATAGCACAGAGAATAACTTAATATACTCTCAGAGGAAGAAGCATACCCCCAGCCTAAATGCAGTCCCCTGTCTCCGACAATCCTCAGCCAATATTTTAGTAGCTTTCAAGGCTTCTTTCATACTTGCTCCAGAAGCAATAGTGACACAGACTATAGCTCCCGCAGAAGCACCAGCTAAAGGCGTGCTTTCCTGCATCAACATGGAAATTAAAATCGCAAGGAAATGAGTAAGATATAAAAGGTAACGGCAGAATAAGCAAACTTGTGTCGGCACAAGGAAAAACAAGAAAACATAAAGTTATGTGCCAGGAACTAAGAAGGCACATTACAAATATACATTACGAAGCAGAAAAGGACGGCTCACTTCAAAATATAGGAACAAGCCACCACATTCCAGGTTGCATGCGTCTTAAAAATATTCATTGGCCTTACAAAATCCATACATGAGCCCAAACACCCAAGAAATGCCAGCTGATACTTCCCATACACATCAATTGTAACTATATATTTATTTAAAAATAATGCGCAAACACCCAAGAAATGCCAACTGGTCCTCTCCAGTGGAAGACCTTACCTTTATGTAACCATTCTCGATAAGAAATTGGGCAACCCCTAGATAGTAAGGGAACAGAAGTCCAGCAGCGGAGAAGCTGAAGCCAGGACTCGTGATCAAGCGCCTGTTTCGCTCGACTTCGACGTCTTTAACCCTCTGTTCCCACACAACATCTGGCTGAATCTCGTCCTCCATCACGGCCCCGATTTCCTCTCCATTAATTTTCCCTTTCTCCGTTGAATTCTCAAACATCGCCACAGTGCCCGAATCTCTGACGAGGCTTCTGCGCCGTCTCATAAACAACCGTGACGCAAGGCCCAAGAAAAGCTCGCCGGTGGCCACAGCAAAGGGTCTTTTCTCGGAAGAAGGAAGAGTTGAAGAAGAGGAAGAAGAAGCACTGTTTGTAGAGGGTTCGATATCACGTGGTGATGAAGAATTAGCAAAGAAGGTTAGTGTTCTGGTGCGCAGGAGATGCGTGTGGCGATGGAGGACAATGGAATTGGGTTTGGGGTTTGAAGAAGCGAAGTGAAGGGTGCGGGAGAGCGGGAAGCGCGAAAAGAGAGAAGAAGCCATGAACGAGGCAGCGAGCGAAACGTACTTCTGAGTTCTGACCTCATGGCCGTTGTTTGTTGAGAAATGGCATTTTCTTGTTTACTTTCGGATCCATGTTGGGTGCTCATTGTTTTATTGTTCTCAAAGATAAATTTTTATTTGCTGGTAAAAAAAAATTATTTATATTTTCAGGTTAGATTAATGTCATTCACATGATTAAAATAATTAAAATTTTAAATATTATTAGGTTAGATTAATTTATTCTTTAATACAAGAAAACTGTGCATCATTGATAACAAAAAAATGTATAAAATTAATACAAAAGTAAATATTTAAAATTTTGTGCAAGGATAATACTCTCTCCATTTAAAAATATAAGGTATTTTTAACCGAATGTCACATCTTAATAAGGTGGTTACTTACTTTCAAACTAACCAAATTTTTTTCATATTTATCCCTATTAAATATCCTATAATAAATAGAAAATATTCAACAATAGGGGCACTCTTAAAAAAAGTAATGATTATATCTTGAGAAAACAAAAATATTTTATATTTGTTAACATTCAATTTTTAAAAAAATATTTTATATTTTTGAACAGAAGGAGTATCATTTTTTTTTACTATCAATGCCTCAACTATCTAAAAAAAATATAAGAAATTGATTAGCCATAATTTTATAATATAATATTTTATTTAATAATATTTTTTTAGTTAAATGATATTTTAACCCTTATAAAAAAATAATATAATTAACAATAGAGGGCTTTGACAAATAAAATTAAATATTAGAGATTTTAAATTTTTAAAAATGAGTGGACTCATGTGCAACTGCTTTAAAATTTAAGAGGGTTTTATGCATTTTAACCTTTTTTTTAACAATTCATTCTTCAATATTGATAAATTATAGATATTATACTAAATAAAAAAGTATACATGTTATAAATTTATTTTTCAAGCATTTCATGAGCTTTGATTAATCATGGCAATGTTGTTTATATCTAACAATCACTTGTAAATATTTGTGCTTGACTTATAAATGTGTATGATAATTTTTTTTATATATGAACAAGTCATGTCTAAATATTTACAAATAATTATTTATATATGAATAATAATAGGTTTATGATTAACTAAAGCCCATGAAAATACTTAAAAATAAATTTATTTTTAAATATTTGGACATAACTTGTTCATATATAAAAAAAAGTTGTCACATACATTTAGAAATCAAGCTCAAAATATTTGGACAAGTGATTATTTATATATGAATAATATTCCATCCATGATTAACCAAAGCTCATGAAATGCTTGAAAAATAAATTTATAACATACATACTTTTTTATTTAGTATAGTATTGACAATTTATCAATATTAGATATTGACAACTTTTTTTATGTATGAATAAGTAAAGTTTAAATATTTACAAGTGATTGTTTGGATATGAATAATAATGTGTCCATGATTAACCAAAGCCTATAAAAATTATTGAAAAATAAATTTATAATATTTATACTTTTTCATTTTACATAATATTGATAATTTGTCAATATTCAAGAAACAAATTGAGTTTCAAAATTTGACAATTTTTTTTACTAATGGACAAGTTATGTTCAAATATGTACAAGTGATTATTTGTATATGAATAACAATGCTTCATGATTAACAGCAATTCAGATAAATGCTTGAAAATAAAAGCTATAGGATATATATTATATTTTGTATTTTATTACTAGAAGGCTTTGGTAATTTAGTGGCACACTAACCAAGGGGTCAAGGTTCAAATCCCCCTTGATCCCTTGGCCCTAATGATTAAAAAACTAGATTGAATTAGGTGGTTGGATTAATCAAACCATCGATTGGTTAGGTTAATAGCTTGGTCAAGGCCAAAAAATTATTTGGGAATTGGGCTAGATTAGGTTACTTTGGACCAGTGGTTAGACCTGAAATCGGGATCAAGCAGGGAATCGAGTTTAGTTTTTAAAAATTGGATTGTTCCAAAAAAAAATACCATTTTTCTTTTTTTATTTTTTATCATTTTTTTTGAAAATGATTAATTTTTTAAATCATTTGATGTTATATTGTATCATGTGCCTTGTTAAGTCATGATAAACTTAAAATATTTTTTTATTTTTAAACTAAGTAGTAATTTTTTATATTTAGATTATTATATACATATATAATTTTTTTAATTTAATTATTATGTCGACGATTCGACCATTAATCCAACCTAGTTTGATCATATAAACTATAAACTGTTAGCCTTTTTGGTTCAATATACTATCTGATTCTAAAAACATTGCTTGGCCGCTTTGATTGGGTTTGACTACCGAAGCTTCGACAACGGGTGGTAGATGGCTGGCCATCATCAATGAAGCTCCGACAACTGATATGGTGGCCTTAGAGGCCGATGACTGAAACACTTTTAAAAAAAAATAGAGAGAGAGGTGGGGGCATTTGTATCATTTCAACAAAATATTTAATTACAATTAATCCTGTAAAGGAACTTCAGATTCCTTCATATTTTCAGCAAAATATTCAATTATAATTAGGGCCTTTGGGCATGTAAAGGAACTTCAGGAACTTCAGCAAAATCTTGATTGTGAGGGATCTAATTAATTCTCCCTTTTATCTTTAAAGTATTTGCAAAGGAGTAACTGACATTACAAAGTTCAATAATGTGAAGCAGTTGTAATCTTCTTTTACCTAAACATGTGGCGTGTCATGTGACTTGTTAATTGGGTATTCATTTATCAATTCAAAATTTTGTTAGTTTGCACCAATAATAAAATAATATGTCGCATGTTATATCTGTCAACACTACCATAGGTTATATATGTATTTGTCAATCAATCATATAACTACCCATAATACACTTGTAATTTGTCACATCAGTTTATAGTAAGTGTGGGCTCACAAATCTCTTTTTTTTTGAAAAAAAACAAAATATTTGGTCCTATAGTTTCATTGAGTTTTTCTTTTAGTTCATATAATTTTTTTTCAATATTTTCAATTCTTATAAGGATTAAAAATGTTAAAAAACTAAAACTATAAGAACTTAAAAATAAAGGCTACTCAATCTTTTTGAAACTATATGGACTAAAAATATTAAAAATTATAAAAATTAAAAATAAAATCTAATAAAATTATAGGGATCAATGATTATGTTTTTTTTTTATTGACAAGTTTTTAGTTTGCTAGTCAAATTACATCCATCTTATCTTTCGATTCTTTAACTAAACACATGTATCGTGATTTGATATTAACCATTAGTGCAAGCCAACTAATGCTCTATTTGATAAGAAATGTTTTTAAGAAAAGTGGAAGTAGAAATATAAAAGTGGAGATAGAAGAAAAAGTGAGGCTTAAAAATGTGTTTGATATACAAAAGAAAGTGGACTAAAATTTATTTAATAAATATATTTATTTATTTATTTTTTGAAAAAAACAAAACACCCATAAAATTTTAACAAAAAAGTCTTCATTGTCATCAAAACCCATAGTCGATGATCTCTAACTAGGTCTCCTAGAATTGCTTTCTGATTGTCTTTTCCATCGGGAGCGTGGCAGACCCACCACTACCTATGTGCTTCTTCATCTTTTGCTTGTGCCATCATTTCTACAAGTTTTTTTTTTTTTTTGCTGAAAATCAAAGCCATTAGTGAGTCTAACCCATTTGAAACTACTTGCACTTCTTTGAAATGTCTCCTTCTCGAATTTATGGTTTTCAACTCTTCATGTGAATACGATCCATGAGGAGAGCAGGAGCCACAGTGAATGGCGCCGTTTCCATAAGAGTCAAAGCCATAGCCTTCCTCGGAGCCGCCATCAAAAGATTGGTCACCGTCGTGGACCATTGCTGTAGATGATCTGGAGCTTGCCGTCGAACGTGACCCTTCGTCATCTTCGCAGTTGGCCTCGAATTGTTTTATGGGGAAGGTGTTGGGGCAAAATGGTCAGCAAGAGAGTTTTAGATAAGTGGAATTAGGCTTTTTGGGTCTGAGTGTAGAACTCAATTTTATCAAATTTGATGGTACTCAAACTTCATTTGGCATGATGAAATAATTTTTGATAGAATTAAATTAAAATTTAAACAGAATCAGATTTTAAAAGCATATTTAATACGACAATAGAATCTTAATATAATTTTAATAATTTTGATAAGTTTTTTTAAAAATAACAAAAGATCAAAGTGCCCATTTCAATTTGTTTTAAAGAAAATCTCATCCGCATCTTTTGCTTGCAACCCCATCCATGACCACCTCTGCTGCATGTATGATCTGCAAGGCGGTGCTTGTGATTACGAAGCTCTCACTATAGCCCTCTAGAAATCCCTTTCCAATTCCTCTTTTGATATGGTTTCCCTATTCCTGAACCTCATCAACCCTAATATGATGAGTTCAAAGCGGAAGTTATGCTTTTCAAAGAGGTCGCAAACGACGTTCATAGCAACGGACTGATGAACTTTCGTCAAATGGTGCAATAGGTGACCAAAGCGAGGCTGGACAACTTGCAGATGCCAATGGTGCCAATCCTAAAGCTAGAGCCACAGATCCCTTCCAATGGCATCAGCACTGTTGGAAAGGAGATAACGTTGCAGCGTCGAGAGAGCTTCTTGCAAGTGATCGCAAGTGCTGGCTTTACCATTAGATTCGCCTGATGAGAGGAAGAAAGCAAGAGGGATACTAGTAGGACTTGCAGACAATGAAAGGGAGGGAGAGAGTATAGTCATAGTAATTTCATGGAATTAGCCCAATTCCATTAACAGGATGATGGGAAAATCTGGGGTTTTTGGCAGAATTGGATTCCATGAGGAATCTGAATTAGTGCACACCAAATCATGGAAAGTTTAATTTCATTGCCATTTCAATATCTCATGAGCCCAATTCCATTGCACCAACCAGGGCCCCAATTCTCCAAGAATCTCTTCATGCAAACCAAACACACAAAATCTTGGGTTCCACTTTCCTTGCTCCATTTCTCTATTATCAAATGGGGCATAAGAGATTTTTTTATCAAAGGATCGGATAAATGTCTATTTAGCAAGTCATGATAGACATATATAACGTATGATAATGTTATTA